AATAAGAGGGCAGAGGCTTTGGGAGAGGGAGAATGGGAGCCAGAGAGAAGAGAGTGGGACACAGAAAGGGAGGAGGGAACCAGAAGAGGGAAGGGGGTGTAGGAAGGGTAGAAGGTCAGAAAAAGAAAGGAAGGGAAGTGAACTTGATGGCATGAGGGCAGCCAAGGCATCTCACCAGAGGGACCCCATCTGACCACAGGAAGTCTCCTTCAATGGTCCTGTCATTGAGCCCAATCCACTGGTACTCCCGGTATTGATCTAGGGAAGAATGGCGAGGAGCTCAGAAGGTGCAGGAAGCTATAGCTGCTGCCACAGATATGGTGCCATTACCTGTGACCTTGTCGGAGTCCATCTGTGTGGGATTCGCTGGGGAAATTCCTCCTGAAATCCAAAATCCACAAGTCCCCACAACCCCCCCCTCCCCGCCCCCGTCCGGTGCTGGAGATCGAACCAGGGTTCGCAAGTATCTAGGGCAAGCCACACCCTCAGCTTCTTCGCCGTCCCCCCCCCCCCCCCCCCCCCCCCCCCCGTACTGGGGTTTGAACTCATGGCCTACACATTGAACCACTCCAAACAGCCCTTTTTTATGTTGCTTTTTTCCGAGATAGGGTCTTGCGAACTATTTGCTCCGGCTGACTTCAAACTGCCATCCTCCTGATACCTGCCTCCTGAGTAGCTAGGATTACAGGCGCGGGCCACTAGCTTCCGGCCTCTCCCTGTTTTCTTCTGGCTCCCTCCAACCTCTGCACACTGGCCAGAGGGAAGGCGGCGCCTTGGAGGTGGGCAGGACAGGGGAAGCTGGGAAAAGAGCAAGCCCTTTAACAGCAGAGATGGGAAAAGCAGACAGAAGTAGGAGAGTCAGAGGTGAGTGAAGGTGCAGTTTCTCTCGGGCCTCAGCCCCACTGTTTTAGTGTGGCGTGGGAAGCAGGAGAGAGAAGGAAACAGTGAATGAATGAATAAATGAATAAATGTGGTCCTAGAGGGAAAACAAGTAACGAGTGCATGAAATGACGAGTAAGAGAGTTAGTGAGCGCGGGTGAGTGTGCGAGGATCCCTTCCCGAGTAGGCCCCAGCCCACTGTTGATGAAGTCCTGTTCCTCCGGCGTGCTGATGCTGGCCAAATGCGCGCCATACATCCGACACTGGGTCTCGGCCTCTTCCCAGCTCCTTCGTGTAGAAAAGTGTTTGTAGCAGGCGCCTTGGAAGGCGTCCCAGCCTGGGCTGCAGAAGCGGAGGCCTGGGACACAGAAGGAAGGGCATCTTAGGAAGAGGAGCCAGGTTTCCAGGGAAAGGAACTGACTGGCCTCCTTCCACCACTGGGAGAGGCGGGATTAAGAAGTAGGAGGGCGGTGCCAAGGAGCTGGGGGGAAGAAGAAGCCTGCAGGAGCCTGGAGGGGCTCTATGGCAGGGGCCACCTTGCTTCTCTAGTGACAGGGACCAGCGTGAGTTGGAGTTTGGGCTGGGTTTCTGCACCTCTGTCCTAGAGAACAGTTGTGCCCTTATCTCTTCACAAAAGGGAAAGCGACAGTGACTACCTGCCCAATGCCAGGAGTGGTTCAACTCTAAGAGGCATTCTGGTTCCCTTAACATTGGAGGATGTTGAGCACAGGGTTCAGAGAAGTTGTGTAACTTGCCTAAGATGGGGATTCATTCACAACAAGGCCCAAACCAGTGACCTCCTCCCCCTCCAGAACTAGTATATTGGGACGGGGATCAGGTTTTAGATCTGCCCCGCCCTGCTCATGCCACTCAACTCACCAACATCACACAGGTCCCCCCCATAGCCAGGCAAGCATAGGCAGCGGACCCCCTCCTCCTCCTCCAAGCATGTCCCACCATTGTGGCAGGGGCTGGGGACACAGTCACCTAAGGGGGGAAAGAAGTGAGGTGGGGAAGTAAGAGGAGCACAGATTTGCGGCCTGAGTCCTCCAGGGGAGGGCCCAAAGGATCCCCTAGCCCTGACCTCCCTCTCTTGGGAGCTAGCAGTTCTCCCACTGAGCCTGCTCCTGCTGCAGCCCAGCCCTGAGTTCTGGGTTTCTCTCCCTTCATCTCTTAGTTCATCACTGGCTCATTTCTGTGCAAGCCACTGTCATACAAACCAGTGTGGGCTCAGTCCAACAAGGGCTAAGGGGAAGAAGCCAGGAAAGTCCTCATCTAACCCCACTAAGGGGAAAGACATTGGGTTGTCAATCATGAGACCTGGACTCTTAACAGCTCCTAGCTCTTCTGTGTGACACTGGGCAGGTCACTTTCCTTTCTCTAGGCCAGGAGTTTAATTCCACATCCCCTTGTCTTTGTGGCAGGTCCCAGCACAGTTCTGTACAGTCTGGGTGGGCTGGGTGGAATAGGAGGTGGGTAGAGAATTACCATAGCAATAGTGAGTGTGGCCTGCCTCCACCCCTCCTGAGACCTGATGTTGGGGTGGTCCAGGTGAATGTAACCAGTCTCCCTGCTGTCTACTGGCAGAGCCCGACAGACAGCCAGATCAGAAGTTGTTAGTGGAGATCGAGCCTGCTTTCTTAACTCTGTGCCCCACTCCTGTTTGTCCAGCTTAGGAAGGAAGCTGCAGCAGTTCCCCTGTTCCTCACACTCAGCTTTCTCTCTACATCATCCAACCTGCTTGTCTCCCCTTCTTCTCTCACCCAGACTCTTTCCCCTTACCACTCTTCTCTTTTCTTCACTATGGGCCAGGTTCCCTAGCCCAAATCCATCTTACTCCCTCCTTCTGGCTCTCTCCTCCAGGAAGTCCTCTTAGACTACCACACTGCCCTGAAGGCCTGCAATCTGTTATCTGTATCCTGTTCTGCTTGGCTAAGCCATCTTCCTTCTCTCTAGCCCCTGGGGCAGGAGGTAGCTGTTCTCAGCGGTGCCTGGGTGCTGAAAAAGGTCAGTTGCCACTCCTTTCTGGTCCAGATGACCCAGGGAAGATGGTTCCATAGACTGACAGTGCAGGTCAGGGGCCCTCACCATAAGGGAGGGGAAACATCCCAGGGAAGGACCTTTTAGACTCACCATCCACTCCCAATAGCTGAGGCCAAGGCCCACAATGCTTCATACTGGCCTGGCCTCAGGTTCTACTGACTGGTGAGGATCTGAGCAGGAGTGGGGGAGGAGAAGCTGGAGTGGATTCAAAGAATACTGGGATGACCTAACTGTTTTGAGTAAAATGAATCAGCCTTTCTAGCACCACTCCCCTGTCACCTCCCCATGGTTGTTTCCTACCAGCAGGTAGTGCTGCCCACCCCAACTTCTTGCCCCAGGTGTTTCATTTAGTCAATTAATCACCAGCCCCCCGCAGAGTGAAGGAGTCCTGAACCCCTTCCATTTCTCACACTTTCCTACTGTTCCTGTTGTCCTCTCCTTCCTGTGCAGTCCTCCAAGCTTGGTAGACACAGACTCTCAAATTCCATCCTTGGTCCTCTCCCTGCCACCAGTCCAAATTCTCACCCCTGGCTGTGGGCTGCAGGACCTGAACTCAGGGTAGGCAGTGTAGGGTGAAGGGACTCTTCTTAGGGCTTTCATGTCTTCCTCCTCCTAACTTTTTAGGGCCAATTGCTAAACACAGCTAGAAAGCTTTTCCTTCCCTCCTGCTGACATAGCAGGCCAGGGTCCTCTGGCTCCTCTCTGAGGTGGGCTAAGACACTGCAGAGACATCCAGTGGTGCTCCTTTCTCACCTTTAACCCTCTTCCCACCCCAGCAGTATGAACAGTATGAACTCCAAGGCCAGCTGGGCAGAGAGCCCACAGTTGAAATGGGTGACCCTGCAGGAAACCCTAGCCCACCTGAGCCATCTAGGAGAAGAGGGCCTGGGCCTGGGAAGATCCCAACCTTCTTAGGGGCCTCCAATGGAATCTGAACCTTCTGTGAGTAGGTAGGGCTTCTTTCAGACATTGGAAGCTAACTCCCCCTACCCTCTTCCTCCCCCCATCTGTATCTTCTCCAGCATTGGCAATAGATCCTTCTGGCTGGGGAGGGTGAAGCCATTCTTCCTGGGGGCACAGGCATCATTAGTGCAGGGGTTAGTGGAGGAAAGGGACACTGGGGACAGTGGATGGGAGTTAGATACTGCTCCTTGATGAGATATGGGGTGGGGTTGAGGGGCTAGGGCACCTGGATGCTGGGGGATCTGGCTCCATGTTAAGAGACTGTTTCCATCGGTACTCTATAAGGAGCCCCCAAGTGACTCAGAAGTGATTGTAAGTACACATCACACAGCCCAGGCTGTGTGGGTTTCTTCCCATGAGGAGTGAGAGACTACAACTCCCAGGCTCCTGCAGACAGATAGGTGATTGTTCCTCTTAGGCCATGTGTACAGTCAAATGGATGATCTCATCAATAAGAAGGGGGAGTGTAGAGAAAGAGAGACTTAGGAGACAGAGGGGCTGTTAGACTGCTATGACAGGCAAAGATGTCAGCAGAAGATGAAAAAGAAGAGATGCAGAAAGACAGAGACAGGGAAAGACATGGAGCCAAAGAAAAGCATTTACAGAGCTGCCCATGACACAGACCCATGCAATGAGAAAGGTAGATAGTTGGAGATGGAGACAGGGTGTCAAAGGTTGGTTACAAAGCAGTTTAATAGGTATTTATTTCCAAGGCTTGTTTTCCATGAAACAATCAAAAAATACTTCACAGAAGTAGTGGCTTAAGGCTCTGTGGGGGTGAGGGCTCTCCTGGACCCCAGAGGCTAAGGGGTGGGGATGGTATCCCAGGCTTCCCTGCTATCAGGGAGGTGGCTGAAGGGATGGCACACAGAGGAGAGGAGAAGCAGCAGAAGATGGGCCTGGCCCCAAAGAGTGCAATAGATATAAAGGCACCCTGAAGAGGCCCTGAGGGACCAGTGAGATGTGAGCCACAGGTGGAGGGCCCAAAGGCAGCAAGGGTTATCAGTGGTCAGTGGCAGAGCTAGGGTCACAGGGCTACAGGGTGAGGAGTCAGAGAGCTGGGATGGAAGTCACAAGGTGAGGGTATCCAAGACAGGAGACCCACAGGTGGGTAAAAGAATGAAGGCAAAGGACAGGTGAGTCTCGGGCAATGGTGAATTAAAGGCCTATAGGTCAGGTGATCCATACGTCCAGGGGAAGTAAAAGGAGGATGGAGAGGAAGACTGAGCCTTGGGCAGAGTTACCTGATGAGGGGGCCACAGCTACTCCACCTCGGCTGGCACTGTCAGTGGGCAGCACTGGCTGGGCCCGCACTGAAGTCCCTGCTGGGACAGTTCTTCCAGAATTCTCTTCCGATGGGGCCTCCAGCTCTCTGGTACCCTCAGGGGCCTGTGTGGCTGGAAGTAGGGAAGGGGCATCCTCGGAGCTCCCTGTCTCCTCACTCTCTCCTCGTGGGACCCCAGATAGCTCAGGACCTCCAATTTCCTCCCCCACTTCTGTCCCAACTGGAATGGGAGGTGGTGGGGGTGCTAGGCTCCCTTCCCTGGGAGTGGGCAGAGTCTCTGTAGGTGGTCCACGGACCCTTGGAGGTCTGGGAGCTTCTGACTCTCCATCAGGAGGTGGTGATGCGCCTGGTTGCAGGACAGCCTTTGCTGGTGGGGACGCCTGGGAGAGTGACTCCTCTGTGTCCAGCTCAGTGGGGAGAGGGCTGCTGAGCTCGCTGGGCCATGCCCACAGGTCCTCATCCTCAACCACCTCCTCCTCTTCCTCCTCTTCTGTCTCTTCTTCATCCTTGTATCTCTCTTCTTCCTCCAGTGCCTTGTCTTCCTCTTCTGGGGACCCCATGGGTGGTAGGATGGATTGGGTTTCAAATTCTGGGCAAAGCACAAACAATTCAGCACCAGGGACAGCACCATCTAGAGGACGGGAAGAAGGCAGGGGAAGGGAAGAAGCAAGGGAAGGGGAGAAAGGCTGGGCTTGAAGGAGAGGAAAAGGGCGGGCCTTGGGAAAAGGTGGTCTTTGCACCACACTAGGAGAACATCAACTTGAGCTGCATTGTTGAGGCAACACTTGAGAAGGTTCTGCAGCTCTGTCATTAACTCAGGAAAACATCTCCCTCTCCTGGTTTGTCCACAGTCTCTAGACTGTTTTGGGTAGGTAAGGCAGAGGAGGGATGGAAGAAAGGACATCTCTCCTTCCCAGGGACCGACCCCTTAGTCCAAGCATCTCTAGCCCCAGAGAACTGGAGGTGGAATTTACTAAAAAGACAATGTTTGGGAGAGGGAGAGGAGAGATGCTTTGCACCACTGAGCTGCTGAGAAAGGACAGGGCAGACTCATGTGAACCATGACCCCAGCATCTCCCTTCTGCCCCAAACTGCCCTCAGAGTAAGGGATTTGAGTTACCTAGGAGGGTTCTAGGGGCTTCTGCTGGGTCTTCTAGGGTGGAGCTTCCACCTCCTCCATCCTCCATGATGGGAATGGAATAGATGGCCCCACGGGACTCATTTTCCATAGCTTCCTGAGGCAGCTGCAGTTCCTGCAGGGTTTCTGTCACTGTGACAATGGCCTCTAGTCCATCAGAGGCTGGATCAGAGGCTGGGTTGGAGGCTTCAGGGATGGCAGAGGGGTGGGCAGAGTCTGTGGCAGGAGGAAAGTGCTGATGGAAGGCTGAATAGTCAGCTCTGCCCTCCCTGGTCATGGTCTGCATGTGAGGGCTCTGGGTTAGACTGTCAGACACACCCTGAAATCCTCTCAATTCTTTCACAGCTTCCCTTTGGAGCACCCACTGGGGCTCAGAACTTTTTCACTCATTCATCAAGCATTAATAAAGTGCCTACTTAATATCATGCCAAGAACTGTCCTGGACATTGAGCATGCAATGTAGAATAAAATAACAAACTTCCTTCCCTCAAGGAAATTTATACTCTAGATACAGATAATAGACAAACTTATTCTATAATGTTACAATGTAAAGAACACTTATGCAGCATTAGAAGACAGAGGAATGGGATGCTCTACTTTTAAGGTGTCAGGAAGGGCTCAGGTGAAAGCTATTCCCTTGAGTGAAGGGATGTGGACAGAAGTATGGGTAGAGTGAGTTCAGGATCTTGGGCTTGGGTCAAGGTGCCAGGGATCTTATTCATCCCAAAATTCTTGAAATGGAAGGGGACAGGCTTCATCCCTACAGGAATGCTGAAAAGGTAAAGTGTAGAAAGAATATTTAACAGTCACCACCTGAGGATCTTAGTGTTACGGCAACAGAGAAAAGGAAGGGGTCATCTCCTTGGGGGATCTGTTCCTTTCAAATACTCAAGAGATTTAGGATGGCTTACATTGTCCACTGGGAAGGGAACTGAAAGCAGAAAACCAATGAAGCAAAGGTGAAATTGGGCTAGGAAAAGCCCTGAGGGCCATCTGTGCCCAGCCAGGTGAGATAGGACAGTTTGTCCCTGCCCTGCTCCACACCAGACCAGCAATCCTGCGCCTATGCGCCCTCTGTCCGCCACTTGTCCCAGTTGCAGTCATTCTCCCCTTTCCTTTCCTCTCTCCTATCCAGTTCCTCCTGCCACTTCTTTCAGGAGAAAGTGCTTGCCTCATCATCTGCACCCAGCTGCCCTTCATGTCCTGCTCCCTGTGGGGGAATTGTGTCTATCCATCAGTATTTGGTGGTTAAAGATCTGACACCTTTAAGCCCTGAGTTCTGAAAACCTGCTTGAGAGCTCCTGGGGGTATTTGGTCAACAGAACTCGAGCAGACTGTTCATTGGATTCAGAGACTGTCAGTCATCTCTGTTCTGCCAATAAGCCGATAGGAAATAGGAGTTTAGTAGCCCAATATGGAGAGGCAGTGTTGAAACTGGAGGAGACAAGCATGAGATTACTCCCTCACACAGCTGAGCTCACAAAGCTGAGTGAGACCAAGTCAGGGGGCATGCCCAGAATTAGAACCCTGGAAGACAAGCTGGGCACAACCCAAGACTCCTTCAGGCAAATGGCAAAGGCCCAAGAGGAACTGGTCAGAACTGGGAAGCAGACTTTCTGGGATCAATACTCCTCTGAGGTTGGTCTTGCCTCTGTAGGTGGTGGGCTCACCTCGGAAGCAGTAGACGTTGAAGCGGCTGTACTTGTTAGGGAATCCCGTCTGGTTGGGAAAGATGAAGAGGGTCTTGACGCCAGGCAGACCCCCACCACAGCGCTGACTGGGTGTAACGATGGGGTAGCGCACACTGCCATCAGCCAGCCAGCCTGGGCTGCAGCGATCCAGGCCACCATCCCAGGCTGCATACAGCTGGCCAGTGGTGGCAATCTCTGCACCCCGCTCCCGGCAGTATGCCCGTGCCTCCTCCAATGTCAGCTTGTCTGGAGGGGCACCTAGGAACAGTTCTCCTGGGTGGGGAAGAGGAGCTGGGTCAGTTGGTAGCCACTTCCACCCTGGGCTCCCATAGGACCCTGGGCAAGTTTCTCCAGGCCTCTGTCTCCTTATTTGTGACAACTACCCTACTTTATAGAATCAAACTCTGGATAGAACCTCAAGATGGACAAAAGAACCTGGCCCAAGTTCTTCATTCTGCAAAGAGTCATGCAGAGAGACTGAACAGCATGTAGCCAAAGAGTTATAACTCCAACTCAGTCTCCTGGCACCTCTCTGAGGCTTTGCTCATGAACTTGCCTCTATGATAGGGTTTGAAGAGAGGGCTACTGCTTGCCCCTTTAAACACATGAATGACAGTGAAATCCAGCTGAGGTCCCAGGAGGACCTAAGGGCAGTGCTGGAGAAGGGGCTTGTCCGATGGGAAGCCCTCACTCGTGATCACCATTTAGATCTTCCGCGTAACAGTAGACATCATAGAGGTCATCCGGGTCTACTACTCCATAGTTCCGGACTCCAGGGTAGCCATCCATGTCTCCATAACAGGCCTCTCGTGGTGTCTGGATTGGATACCTGAGGAGAGAGGGGTCTCCATACATACAGTGCCTTCCCCAGGGACATCCCAACTGACTCTACTGACCTCAGTGCCCTACCAGTGCAGCCAATTGCCAATAGGCTGGCTGTCCCATCTCTGCAAGGAAGAACACCCCCAGGCCTGGCCTCACCCACCCTCCTTTAGGCCAACCTTCTTCTCAGAGGCAAGAAGCCCTGTGTGTCCAGCTTAAGGCACCAGGCAGCCCCTGGCACAACTGGCGGACACAGCTATATCAGAGACAAATGGAAGCCCCTGGTCCACAGCCCCAGCCCACCTCACAGTCTGGTCGGACAGCCAGCCAGCATCACACTGCTCATAGCCCCCAAGGTAGGCGGCATAGAGCTGCTCAGGTGTAGCAATGCGTGCTCCGATGCGAGCGCAGGCTTCCTGGGCACCAGCAAAGGAGAAAGCATACCGGGCAGAGCCCTCCCGGTAGAGAAAGACGACCCCTGAGGGGCAGAGAGGACTCCTGAGTAGGGTGATCACCCAGCACATTGACCTCCCCTCACCTCCTGGTCACTCCCCTGTACACAAAGGATAAAGTCCAAGTGGTGTTCACTCTACAGCAGGAGGGACTTAAATTAGACTGTGGGTAGCATTTCCTGCACCTGAAGAGAGAAAGGAGGTAACAAAGGACTGTCTCCAACCTCCTTTGCCAACTCAGTCTGTATCGTCCAGGTGCAAAATCTGCTTCCTCCCCCAGATTGAGGGCTCCCCAGGGTAGGTAGTCCTCTCTCCTCCCTTTCTCTCCAGGGACCTCCTCTCTCTATCCCTGCCCTCTCACCTTTGACCTTCACCTCCACAGCATCACTGCTGTCATCAATGCCGTGCTGGACCTCACAGCGGTAGATTCCTGAGTCATTGGGTCTTAGCTCGCTCAACACCAGGGAGACATCCGTGAGTGAAGCCGGGTAGGCAGGCAGCGCCACGCGATACCGGTAGGCCTCGTTCACTTTGACGCGCAGGCCCCGTGCCACGAGTACCTCCGCCTCCCGGCCCCGGGACAGGAAGGTCCACTTGACCCGCGGAGAGCCCAGCACCGCCCGGCGGCTGGGCGGCGGCCGCAGGTAGTGGACGTGGCACGGGATGGTGAGCGCGCCGCCTAACACACCCCGCAGTGGCGCGGCGCCAGCGATGCGCACTTGGAAGGCGCGGTCCTCTGTGGGTGGGCGGGGCCGGCTGCAACTTAGGCCAGGACCCACCCGAGCTCTCCAAGCCCAGCCCCTACCCCTGCCCCGCTCTGGATCCTCCAGGCCCATTCTCCAGTGTCTCCCAGGTCCACCCCAAGATCCGCATCCCAGGTCCGCTGACCAGGAGGCCTGGGTCCTCCAACCCTGTCCACTAAGTTTTCCAGTCTTCCCCCAATTCCACTCCTTTCTGCCTCTTATCACCATTCACCCAGGACCCCTATCCTTCACCCTAGGGTCCTCAGCCCTGCACCTCATGCCCCTCCCCAACCCGATCCCGAAGATTTCCCCACTTACAAGGGGCCCACAACTCATCCCGCATTTCCATGTGCCCCAGTCCAGACCTTCTCCCAATTCTGTCTCTTCCCTGGGTCCCCCAAAGCTGGAAGCAAGTGGGTGGGGCTGAAGGAGATACCACTCTCTCTGCCTGGGGGAGGAGGACAGAGACACAGAGATAGCGCCTCTGAGGGGTGTTGCTTACCTGAGCTGTCCCCTTCCAGTACATCAGCTAAGGCCGAAGGGACCTGGGTCAGGGCCAGGGCAACCAGCAGGGGCACAAGCAGTGGGATCATGCTGCGAGCTGATGGAGGGACTTGAGGAAAGATGGGGGTTAGACTTCAGGATGGACTTTCACTAGTTCTGTGCCACCTACATAAGCTCACACATATCCCAGCCCCAGAAGCTCACTCCCCTACCTCACTGTTGGCTCTGTTTCTGATCCCTGTCTCTCTGCCAAGGGATTCCTCCTTAGAGCCAAGACCTCCATCTTAGTCAATGCTGTTACTGTGTGACATCAGCCAAATTCCTTACCATCTCTGGGCCTTTGTATTTTGTTTGTTTGTTTGTTTTTGGTCTCTTTGCTTGGAGATAGCTATATATCTTCTATATCCATATCTATATATCTATAAATATTATATATTCATCTAACTACAAAATATCCCATGCCACTGCACAGTGCCAGCTCAGTGAATGTTTATAGCATGAATGGTGGGTGCTACTGTACTGTTGGTCCTTCAGCCACATGATTCCATGTCTGTGCATTCAGTTAACTGCAAATGGAAATGCTCAGAAAAAACCCTGTGCCTATACTGAGCAGGTACAGACATTTTTGGTCATGATTCCTTAAACAACACAGTATAACAAGTATTTACATAGCATGTATATTGCATTAGTATGATAAGTAATCTAGAGATGATGTGAAGTGTACAGGAGGATGTGCATAGGTTACATGCAAGTACTCCACATGGACTTGATCACCTACAGACATTGACATTGTTGGGGGGTCCTAGAACAAATCCTCCACAGATGCTGGGGGACAGTTGTACTTAGAATTCCATCTGCCTTTCCAGTGCCAGACACCTTCCTCCAACCCAGAGCCTCCTTCTCCAGAAGTATTTCTCCAGTCTTCCCTGCCTGGGCCTTCCTCTCTGGGAACCACACCCACGTGGCCTCCTCCAGGAGGGCCTCTGAGACTGAACCCAGGCAACGCATAAATTCTCCCCAATTCATTCCCTCTTCTATCTCCTCCCCACCATTACTTACAGGGAAAGTCATCTCTTTGCACCCCAGCATCTTCCATCCTCCCTCCCTTCCTCCTAGCCATTCCTTTCTGCCTGGCACAGACTTTCCCACCGGATCTCCTGGCTCAGAAACTAGCTAGGACAAAGCTCCTGTCTCTGCCAGTCTGGCCTCCATCCAACCTACCCCTTCCCCCACCCCACCTTTTGTGAAAGGCCTGGACTGGGGTGGACTAGACTAAGGGGGGCGGTGAGAATAAAGAGACAGACCATCCCCTCCTACTCCTGGTATCAGAAGCTCTAGAACCCAGAATATTCTTCTGAAGATCTCACAGCACTTACACTCTTGTAAGAGAGGTGGGATGTGATATGGAGAAATGAAGACTGATGCCCAGAGAAGGAGAGGGCTGACTCTGGGTCCCTAGCAAAGCCAAGTCAGGCACTAGGTCAATGTGTCAGGAGAGAAAGCTGAAGACAGTGCCCAACATCATCTTTAAGGTAGATTTAGAAGAATACAGGGACCCAAGCATGACACAGAATCATCAGCGATGATGCAGCAGAAGGGATGAAAGTTAGACTTTGGGCAAGACTTTCTACAGATAAGCCTTATTCCCATTCCCACCTCAGGCCCACTATTCAACCTCCATCTTTCCAGTCTTCTCATGTTCTTCCTTCATACAGTCCCCTCCTTCCTGAGCCTGAACTGAGGGAAGTTTCATTCTCCCAGATCCTCTGGGTTAGGTTCCCCTCCCCCCACCCAATGCTGTACCCTCCATGTCCTGTTGTGCTGTGCTAGGTGACATTTCCTCAAGTCCAATTGGGGAGGAGGGGCAGGAGCCAGATGATCAGGGTCACTCTGTACCTTTGGGAGGAGGAGACTCTTGATGGGGCCAGGTCAAAGGGCGCCTAGACCAGCTCTGTCCAGCAGGAGCCTGGAGAGCACTGTCATCAGGGCTGGAATGGGGACATTTGGCACAGGCAGGCAGTGAGCAGCCAGTGCCTGCCCAGAGTTAGGGAGATGTTTGACATGAATCTGGCTGAGCCAGGATTTAGGCAGGGCCTTCTTTATGTTTTTCCAGTACCTTCCCACCCCTCTCTGGAGCATGGCCCCCACTCTGACAGGTGGCCGAGAAACCCATATAGTTGGAGTCACTCTGGAGCCAACACCCTGGACCACCTATTTCACCTCTGTTCAAAGAGCAGGAGAGTGAGGAAAGAGGCTGCGAGGTCAGAGAAGCCCTGGCTGCCCTGGAACATGGTGTGTGTGTGGGGGGGGTGGTGACCAACCCTACCTCTGAGAGCAGGAATCACTGACCAGAGGGGCCAAGTAGAGAGTGCTGTCCTCAGAGAGCTCTGTCTCTCCTCCCCACAGTCCCACAGGGGCCTTGGCCCTTCTGAGTATAGCTAAGAGTTCTGAGGAAAACCATGTGGCACAGATTGGAGACCAGAACTCCAGGCCTTGCCTCTCCCTCCCACACCCAGACTCCCTCTGCCCCTCTGCAGGACACACCATTCCTGTAACCTCAAGCATGTAGCAATCACCTGTCCCTTCCCCAGCTGCACCCACTCCTCTACTCAGCTCTGTTTCCTCTTTTCTTCATCATTCCTGTCAACCACGGACGTCCACATCTCTCTTACAGGCTTCTCAGACCCCATCCACAGAGCATCAAGACCAAACTCGTGTGTGTGTGTGTGTGTGTGTGTGTGTGTGTGTGTGTGTGTGTGTGTGTGTGTGTGTGTATGGGCACCCAACCACACAGGACTAACACCCACCACCACTTCGGAGCCAAAGGCCCACCTGCTGCCAGTCAAAGGGCTCGCTCAGCAGAGATGCACAGGAGGCCAGAGCTTGGCTCTGTTATCCTCTTAGTGGCTGTGTGAAGAACTTGAACCTACACAAAACCAGTGAGGCCTTGGGCACCTGCAGGAATAATTGCAACAATTGTATAAATAGTCCTATTTATTGGAAGCACAACTAATAATACCCTCAACAACATCCCCAGCTGAGCTGCTGCAGATCCTTCAGTATGAAATCTGAAATGTAGACCATGGGGTTCTCAATGCGCAGTTAGTCACTGTACCAGAGGCACTGGTACCACTGCAAGTGGCTCTGTCCGGAACACTGGTCCCTGAACACTAAGGGATCTGAAACCTAAGGGATGCAGGTGATAATGGTGCCAGCAAAACTGATGCTAATCCCCTACTCCTGTTAGAAACATAGGGGCACAGCTATTCTGATGGGGGTAGGAGTGTGGAAGTGCCTGGGGGTGTTGGGGAAGCTCCCAGCCCTCTGGCAGTGCTAGGAAGAGAAGCAAGAAAGATAACTCCATTCCAGCTAACAGTTCCTCATCGCCTCTCTGAGTCCAGCCTCCTACTAAATGCTTCCAGTGGACACCTTAACTTCGAGAAAAATACTGGTTTGAGTTTCCCTCATTACAGGAAGACCAAATAACTGCCCAAGGTCACACAGCAAGTAAGTGGCAGAGTTGGGATTCTAGCTCCAGTGGGCTCAGCCACCACCCGCGGCTCCTGTCGCCGGCTACCGCAAGGTGTCCCCAGAAGAAGGGCTGCTCACCGCGGTTCCTCCTGCGCCCCGGAGTCGGGGGCTGACCCGACTGCCACCGCCGCCTTGCCCAGGACAAGGTCGGAAATGTCCGCGGCCGCGCAGAGGCTGGAGCGCAGCAGGCCGACTAGAGGACCAAGAGGGGCGTTCCCATTAGTCAGGTCCAAGAGGGCTGCAGGTCAAATGCAGGCAGCGGGGGGCGGGGGGCGGGGGGGCGGCGGAGCTGGGAGTAGGTAGATGGAAGATGGCAGGAAGACCTTGCGAAGATGCCAGGGGTCGAGCTGGGTACCTCGCAGGCAAGGGCTGCAGGGTGTGGGCACCGATCAACGGGCAGCCGCTCTCTCCCTCCCAGGGCCGGGTGGACAGGATACGGTGGCACTCACCTTCCCAGGGCCGGGGTGGGGGCGGCACTGCGAAGTTGGCCGCCTCCTTCGGGGGTCTCCTCCGGGTCCACGGCTCGGTCCCCAGCTGCAGCGGAGACTGCGGCGGGACTGCGCGGGCGCGAGGAGAGGCCGGGCCCGCAGGACGCGCAGAAGAGGGCGCCGGCCCGCCGGGCGCCGCACAAAACCCCCTTTCTTCCCCCCGCCCCCGCTCCGCCCTTCCCTCCAGGCCACCTCCGCCCCTTGGCCAGGAACTCGGGGGGCTCGGGACGGTCACGGGACCGGCTGCCTTCTCTACATCGGTTCCCCGCGGCTAGGGCAAGGACAAGCGAAGTAGGACATCGTTCCGGGGATGAGAAGACGAGGACTTGGAGTAGGAAGGGAGGGCAGAGGGGCGGGGACCGAGCGCTAGAAGATGCTGTTGCAGCTGGCGGGTTGAAAGTTAGACAACCGGAGGGACTTCTCATTTGTCAAAGGGAAAGGAGGAGGGACTCAAACATAGTAAGGAAGAGGATGAAGGGATAATGGGAGACTGGTCCTGGAAAGAGGAACACCCTCCTTCTCCCCTCCCTGATAAAAATGGGAAGCTCTTTTCTGAAAGCAAGGATGAGGTGCCGATGACCACAGCCACCTCCCTGGAGGAAGATCTGATTGAATTTTGTCTCCTGTGGTGCTCCCACTCCCTGCATAGAGTAGGAGTTGACTTTGCAGCTGGACGAATGGAGGTTAGACAGCAGAAGCCTGAGTTAAGCAAAGAGGGTGGAGAATGCTCTAGGGGGTGTGGGGTACCCGTGGCACCATGAGTGGATATCAATGATCATACAAACCAATGTGCAAGTGCAGGCATTGCTGGGCACCCAGAGAACCTATTGGCCAGGACTGTGGCTGCCCAATGTGCAGCCTGGTGCCAGGGGGTGGGCCTTGAGTGCTGCCCTGCCATCAGGACTCCACTGCATCAAGAATACCAATGATGCCCGCCACCCCACCCCCAGCCCCAGGGCCTCAGCTTCCCTCTGCTTTCCCAGGCTCGCCCTCCTTTTTTCTCCATTCTTCCCTCCTCCCTCCTGGGACGCCAGGCGAAGCCCTGGCATAGACTGTGGGCAAGAGAGCCA